AAGGCTGGCAAAGTGAAATTTCAAAGTAACAGAGGAGCTTAAAGTGTATCTGTGCAGGACTTCGAGCTCTAACTTTTGAAGGCAGGGTCTGTGGAGCCTGCTCCTTCTTCCTGCTTCAGGGAGAGATGCTGTTCCTGCAGAGGGCAGAAATATGAGCTCAGTGGGACTCACTCCTCCCTTTCTGAGATCCTGGTTTTGAGCTTTCTCCAGGAGCTCGTATTTGTTCTGGTGCCTGTTTGTCACAGGCTGTGGAACAGTAAGCCTCAGACACATGGATTCTGTGTTACTTGAAAATAACCTTGAAGATAAAGAGATCTTGCACCTTGAACGTGCAGCCAGAGAAGGATCTTTCCTCTGGGGTGATGCCTGTGAGCTGACCCAGCCTTGTTGGCACGTTTGAGTGTTTTTTCTGTCTCACTAGAAATCAAAGCAGGACATTGAAGAGGAGGGACCTGTGGCATGTCAGAAGGAGGGGACTGGTGGGAATGTGAAGCTGTGCCGCCTGCAGCCGCTGCTGGAAGTGCCCATCCGGGAGGCTGAGGCACAGCCCTTCGAGGTGCTCATGCAGTTTCTGTACACAGACAAAATAAAATACCCTCGCAAAGGTAGGACAGCAGGGTGAAAAAAATACCAGCAACTGAGGAGCAAACATTTATTTTGATACAGAGCAGGACTGAGCATTTACAGATGAGCAATCCTGCTTTTTTACCTGAGATAAAGAAAAAGGTTTCTATCAGAGCATGCTAGCAGTGCTTTGTTTTATTTGTGTCAGACATCAGGGAAGAGCAGGTTCTTGAGGTCTGCAAAAGGTGTAATTTGAACATTACAGCAGCCTGCCTGGGAGGGCCAGGTGTCCTAGGCTGGCTTGTTTCCTTTTTCTGGTATATTTTTGTCTGGTGGAAACTGAGCCCACACAGAAAGGCAGAGCAAGCCAATGTTTATCATCTCTTCAAAATGCCAGTCCAAAGGAATGCCTCCAGAAAGGCAAAATCCTTTTGATTCCTTCCCTGAAGATCCCTGAGCTCAAAGCACTTGCAGGCTGGGAGGTAACGGCCAGAGATCTCTGCTCCCACCCAGGCAGTCTGACTCCTGGCTGTGTTTGAGTGGTGAGGTTGGCTGGGCTGTGGGACTCAGGCTGGGGAAGGGGGGAGCTCCAGCTGGTGGGACTGGGGGACCTGCAGGCGTGTGGCACTGTTGGGTAAATCAAGCTACGTCTGCCCTGAGGCTGAAAGCTTTGCTTCAGTTCAGTCCAGGACCTTTCCTTTCTATACAAGGTAGTTCTCAGGAAAATGATGATTTGTATGCAGCTGTCCCAGGGGTTTCCCTGCAAGCTGCCCTCTGTTAAAACTAGCCTAAGTAATGGGGACAAGAGAACCTCCTCATCAGTGTCTGCTGCCAGTGCAGATCCTGCTCTCAGCCAGTTCACTGATCCTCAGCATTCGGACCCAGGACAGGATCAGCCCAAGGAAAGGGTTATCACACTGAGCTCTTCCCTTTGTTCCAGGTCTCCCAGGCAGCCAGCTACCCTTCCCCCAGCCCCTCAGACCTGCTCCTGCTGGGATCCTCCAGTGGCCCTGTCCAGACCATTTGTATTCCGAGTTGCTCCCCTCAGTTCAGAGAGCAGCACCTTGGGGACCCATCCAGAGGCTGAGCTAATAGAATTGGGCATGCTTATCAAGTGGGATTTTCTGATTAGACGCAGGGAAGGCACGTGACACACAAGAAGGCTTTTCTTTATCAAAAAGTAGTTACAGCAGATGGCCAGAGATCTCCTGTGAGGAAAGCAAAGGCTGTGAAGGATTATTCTGTAAGTTGGTGTCCCAGTAGCCCCACTGCAGTGCCCTACAAGGGTCCTCAGTGCCCTACTCTTAATTCAGCCCTCTCTTCTGGGTCAGTCTCAGGTCTGTACACGCCCAAGCACAGAGAGCCTTTGTCTGTCAAAGTCAGGGAACTGATTGCTAATGCTGCACAAAACCCGAGGACTTCAGCAGAGCTGTTAGCAGCAGAGCACTTCAGAAAGTCAGGCTGCTACCTTCAGAGCTTGTTAGTTTTCTTAGAGACTTCCCTTTCTTTTGAGGGCTCTAAAAAAACTGTGGTCCATATTGTCCCAAAATCTTTTTCTAAAAAGTCTTTTGGGGTGGCTGCTTCATGCTGCAATTTTGAAACTCCATTTTAGTGTCAATGCAGCTTCTGTCTAACCAGCAATGGGACTTTTTACTCCAGACACTGCCCATTCTACCAGTCCAAATACTCAGGTTGATGTGGAGAGAAATACTTTGAGGAAGGTTCCTCTTTTTGTTCTGTGAGCTCTCCAGCATTTTTCTCTCTTGTCATTCCAGGTCTTGTGCAGGATGTGTTGCTTATTATGGATGTCTACAAACTGGCCTTAAACTTCAAGCTCTCCCGGCTGGAGCAGCTCTGCCTGCAGTACATTGAAGCGTCCGTGGACCTGCGGAACGTGCTCATTGTCTGTGAAAATGCCAACAAGCTGCAGCTGGATCAGCTGAAGGTAACCACGTGTCCACACAAAGGAGCTCCTAAGAAATTTTTAAAAATAAAATGGTTGTAATTCATGTTTTGCAAAAGCCATCACCTTCTGCAAGTTCCATTCTTTGCCCTAATTGCAGTGGCTTGAGCATACGTTGGTGTGGGTTGTCCTGCACTTGCTCCTGGGTATTGTGTTGGGTTTTTTCACCACGTGTTTGGTACTTTTGAATATCTGCCCTGTAGGATGTAAAGGGCAGAGTGACTTTGGCTCTTCACCAATTCACCCTCACTGCAGCAAGATGGAACCAGTGCATTTTCTGATCCCACTGTTTTATACAGAGACTGCAAACAGGTTCTTTAACCTCTTATATAAAAGTTAATTCTGTTCTCATGCCTTTGATATGAAAAACACTCTGCTGGAAAACCAGAATGTGTCTGCAGTTAGTGGGCCAAGGGCTTTCAGGCAGTTGCTGGAAGTCATGGTAGAGTCCATCCCCCAGGCTTCAGACCATGATTTGCTGTGAGGGTCTGGTTACTGCCAGCACTAGCCAGGGCCAGTTCTGCTCAACACTGCAGAGAAGTTCCTCCACTCAAGTCCAAAAGTCAGTGCAAGGTCACCCACTGCCTGTTTGAGCAGCCTGTGCACATCAGTTGGCCACATAGCTGATGGTTGCAAGCAGAGTGAGGGTGGAGAAACTGTTGTGCAAAAGCACTTCCCTGGGCACTGTGTGCACTGGATCTGGGCAAAGAGGACAGCAGTGGAGTCAGCAGCAATGTGTAAATGCTGGCACAGCCTTTAGTGTGTAGGGCCATGATGCCATCAGCTGCTCAGGAGCTCGGGCAGGTATCTCAGCATTGGTGGGTGTAGTGCCAGGAGTTTCACATCAGCCAGCCACCTCCACCTGCTTTGGCTCCCAGCAGGGTGACAGGGACAACTCCATTTTGGTCAGGATCACCTTGAGTTGGCATCTTGTCTTCTCAAGGGTGCGTTAGTCCTCCTGGGTAGATGCCATCTCCAGGAGGCTGATTTCTGGCATCCTAGTAATTGTTTAAAACTTTTTACAAATGGGTCCTCAACAGATTCCTTTGGATCTCAGGTGAAATAACTTGGCAGAAAATGGACAGTAGTAATTATTCTTTGTGTGAGTTTTGTGCTCACCTTATGGTATAGATTGTATTTTTTGCTAATTAAAGTGTCCAGAGGGAGAGCCTTGGTTCACATTGGCAAATGAAGTGCCATTTTTTGTCCTTTTAACTGTTTTAGGTCTGATTCATTTGTCACCTTTCCACCCATGGAGTTCTTAAGCAGGTTGGTCATACCAGAACCTGCAGGAGCTCTTCAGACTCTTTGCAGCCTTTACAGAAAAGTTTAAAGAAGAATCCACACAAGGAAATTCTGCAGACGATTTATACCCTTAATAAATAGAGTTAAGAGTTAAGATCTGTTCATCCTTATAATTAACTTTTAGTATCTAATTGTGTAAAGAGTTATTATGAGATAACATCCAATCCTAGTTAGCCCTATGAGGTTTTGAGTGTCTCCTGAGATCCCTGTTTTAGAAAGCTTGAGAGCAGCTAAATGGGAGACAATTAGTCTTTTCTGTGTCATTATTTCTTAGTCAGGTTTTTCTAGATAATTACAATTGTCCTGAATTGCTTCTTCAAGCAGGAGCCTAAGAGGTCCCTTGCTGAGAAGGTCATTGATAGCTCCAGCTGCAGGATCTGTGTGGAGGGTCACTCAGAGAAGGGTGGCCATTCACATGTGTGACGTGGTAACCTCTCTGCAGTGCTTTAGGATGACTTAGAATCATTAGGGTTAGAAAAGATCTCCAAGATCATCAAATCCAACCATCAACCCAACGCTGCAATGACCACTAAAGCATGTCCTGAAGTACCATGTCCACACTTTCTCTGAGCCCCTCCAGGGCCGGTGACTCCAGCACCCCCCTGGGCAGCCTGGGCCAGTCCCTCACCACTCCCTTCACTCTGACACAGTGAATCAGTGTTGTGTTGTGTTTTTTTTCTTCTTTTTTTAAGGAACATTGCCTGAACTTTGTAGTGAAGGAGTCACATTTTAATCAGGTAATAATGATGAAGGAGTTTGAGCATCTTTCTTCATCCCTCATAGTGGAGATTGTCCGGAGGAAGCAGCAGCCGCCTGTTCGCACGCACTCGGATCAGCCGCTCGACATCGGTAACCTTGTGCTTCACAGAGGGACTGCTGCTGCTGGGGTTGTGTGGCTGGTGGTTTGTTTAGTCTGGGAAGTAGCCTGGGAAATAGGCCACTGCAGTCCACTGACTCTCCAGTTGGTGTAACTGTGCTTGGGCTGTTTCCCAGACTGAGGCAGAGCGTGCCAGTTCCTCTTCCAGGGAGCTTCAGTCAGAGCAGCATCCCCACCAAACACACAACAGCTCTTGTGGGGTGTGGTTGTGTCCATGCAGTGAAATAGCCTTACTCTGTTCAGAGAGATGAGGCAGGAGGAACAGGAGGGTATAGAGAATGATTCAAAGAAAAGGCAGTGGACATTCAGCGTAAGTGGACCAGAAGGTAACAAAGCTGAGTGGGGAGCTGGCCTGCTCATGGGGTTTAACTGGAGGAGCAGGAGTAAGGAAGATCTGAGTAAGCTGCCTCTGACAGTGTGAGAGAGAGAGAAGCATAGAACAATTAACCCAGAATAAAAAAAAGTTACTGGAAGACATAAACAGAAGACAGGGAGAAGACTTTGAGAAGATAAATAACCTGCATTAATGTTCAGGCCATTCATTTTTATTGTGTGATTGTGCTGGAAGGAGGAGATTTGATTTACAGTTCTGTGTGGAATTCATCAAGACCTGATTTGGGATTAGTTTTATTCAAGATTTTATCATTGTGACACACAAAAAACCAACTGTAATAGTGAAATTTGCTGAGGCCATGAAGCTCAGAGGCATTACCAGTGTTACAAAGGTAATTGGGAACTGTAGAGAAAGCTAGGGAAGCCAGTCCTGGAAGGTCAGGTAGAAAACCTTTGGCTGGCTTTTGTCCCAGGGAGGAGAGAGGTGCACTGTGCAGGAGGATGGCACAGGCAGCTTCTGTACCCAGAGCTGGAATGGTGTGAGAGACCCAAACATTAAAAGAAAAACAAACAGAAAATAGGAGTGAATTTGGATCAGACTTGAACATGCTCTATTTCTCAGTTATTGTGTATGTTCAATGGTTAATTAAGATGTTGGATAAAAAAAGCCTTTTTGAGGATTTGAGAAATTCTTTTCACTAAGAAAATTTTCATGGTGGTTCAAAATAAGGAAAATAAAAAGGTGGGGGAAAAAAATCAGATTTCTTTGTCTACAGAGAACACCTTTCAGTGTGGCCACTGGTGGTGTTTGCTGTCAGCAGTTTGAAAGCAGAGCTGCCACATTTGCTTCTGGGCTGGGCAGCAGCTAATGGGTTGTGATGGGGACAGATGAAGCTCATTTTGCTCCAAGGTTACGAGGAAGAGCCTGCCTCAGACTCACCCCAAGGGTGAGCAGCTGGAGCTATGGCTTGACCTGGTTCAGTAGTACCTGGTCACCTGAAACTATTGTGTCTTTATTTCATTATGTTAACTTCCAGGAACATCTTTGATTCAGGACATGAAGGCTTACCTGGAAGGAGCTGGGACTGAATTCTGTGATATCATCCTTCTCTTGGACGGGCACCCACGGCCAGCCCATAAAGCAATCCTGGCAGCCCGCTCCAGGTGGGTCACTGCTGACTGACCCTCCAGCAGATGTGGTGCCTGTGAAACACAGTGCTGTGCTTGCTTTTTTTAGCAGGCAGGGAGGAACTTTGTGCCTGCATGAAGCAGAAGATACAGCTTTGCTCAATGAGTGTAATAAGCCTTTAAGCAACGGCGATTAAATAGTTTTTTTTCAATTTGATACCCAGCAGGGAGAGATAGGAGGAAATTAAAACTGTAGAGATTCTCTAGAGGGTGTGTAAGAAGCTGCACTGCAAGACAAAGAGTCTGTAAAATCACAGGAAGGGAAAAAGAGTGTAAAACATAAGGCAGTTGCAGAAAAGTGAAAAGCAGGAGATGTCCTCTGAGGTCAAAAGGAGTCTTCTGATGGAGAACACCCATTTCAAATCATGTGAAACTTGAATCTCCTTCTCACCTGCTGATATTTAAGACTGGATGTGAATAAGCATCACACAAAGTGGTGCAGAACAGAGACTGGATTATTCCTGCACTTTGTGGCAGATGCAAGGAGTTCACCCTTCTGTGATGGGTGCTCTTCTTCCTCCTCAGTACCTGGGTGAGGTGGGTTTGTCCTTTGCTGGTGTGTTCTGTGTACCTGCACCTCTGTGTTCTGCCAAGCATTAAGTGTTCACATAAAATATCTATTGCAAATACTGTCACAGTTTTTTTTCCAGTCTCAGTATTCATATTCAGTATTAGTTACTGTGATATTTTACCAAAAGCATTTCACAGCTCTTAAAACAACCCTGCCTGACTGGCAGCTTGTAGATACCAAGGAAATTCTTAATGCTTTAAGCTCTCTGCTGGGTCTTATGCAAATTAGACAAAAATCAAAGCACCATGTGTCCTAATTTTCAAGAAACAGAGACAGATTTCAGGTAATGCTGATGGAAAGGAAGGAGGATTATATCTGGAGTTCCCTCACATGCAGATACATACGAAACAGCAATTTAGCAGTGGCTTTGCCCAGGTTGTTACCTGGATTGCTGCTCTGGAAGCTGCAGTGCTTACTAGCAGCCTTTGGACAATACTGGGTTACACCATCTGTCTGCAGAACTGTTACATCAGTTTTATTTCCTTTTCCAGTTACTTTGAAGCCATGTTCCGTTCCTTCATGCCAGAGGATGGGCAAGTGAATATCTCTATAGGTGAAATGGTCCCCAGCAAGCAAGCATTCGAGTCCATGCTTAGATACATTTATTATGGTGAAGTGAACATGCCTCCTGAAGACTCCCTGTATCCTTAAACCTCAGGTGGTTGAAGTATCTGTCTGCAGTGCATGTGGAGCAGCTCACCTGCCTGTTGCTCCAGCTTGCCAGGCACAGCCTGGGAGGATTCTTTGCCAGGGCTGCATTAGCAGGTGCTGCAGTTTGACTTCAGTCATGGATTTGTATTTACAGTCAGTGCTGTGAACTTTGCTTTACCATTTTTTTCCTTAATGAGATGAACAGCTACCTCTTTGCTGCACCTTACTACTATGGCTTCTCCAACAACAGACTGCAGGCCTACTGCAAGCAGAACCTAGAAATGAATGTCACAGTGGAGAATGTACTGCAGGTAATTGTCCCCAGGCAGCTTTAATTAGTTGCTTGACTCAGATACAGGAAAGCCAAACAGTCCAGTCCAGTGGGTACCCCCAGTGCCAGGTTCCTGCATCACTCCCAAACTGATGTCCCCTGAGACTGCACAGACCTTTCTGACAGCCAGGCAGGAGTGCAGCCTTCAGCAGCTTTGTTTCCTTGATTTTTGTGTCACTGGTGCTCCTGTGCTGAAGTGTTGAGCACATGTTGCTTAGCTGGCCAACAGGGTGTTCCTCTGGAGCTCCTCATCCCCCATGGCAGCAGACCAGTGTTGCTGAAGAGCTTCTCAAGATGTACCATGTGCTCAGCACTGAACTCCAGGCCCTTTTTTAGACATTTGTAGCAGGGCAAACAGTGACTTTAGTCATGTATTGGTAACACTGACAGGATCTGGCAGTGAAGGTTAAGCTAACAAAGAACAGTCTGATAAGAAAGCCTGCAAAGCCATCTACTTGAGAGGCAGAGTGAACCCTCTACAACATCAGCAGGATCTATTCTAGTGTTAACTGCTTTTGGCTCTTGCCAGTCTCACTGGGGCACTTCAGGAGCCTGACTGAGAGACAGATCTACAGTTTCCTACTGATTATCTTCTGAGGACTCCATAAATATTAAATCCAAGGCTTATTTTTGAATAGTTTGTAATGATAAATGGAGATGTTCCCTAACTCAGAAGAATTCCCTCCTCTGAGCCAGAGCAGTGTTTACCACTGTACATCTGAGCTATGCAGAAGGAAAATCACATCTTGCTTTTGCTCTAGATTTTAGAGGCAGCTGACAAGACCCAAGCCCTGGACATGAAGAGGCACTGCCTGCACATCATCGTTCACCAGTTCACCAAGGTTGGTTGCATCTTTTCTGGGGCTTTTGAGAGCTGCTGTCCTCTGCCACTGCCTTGGTTAAAGACACGTTAATATAGGAATCCATTCCCCTCTTTCTCCCCTGAGAGAGCTGAGAGCTGGCTCAGGGTCACTGACACTGCTGGACAAGTCTGCTGGGTGCACTTGCACACACAAGTAAATTAAATGCTAACAACCTAGTCTGGAAATGTGAAGACCTTCCAAAAGAGAAGTTACCCAGAACTGCTTCCATTTCGGTCTGTTCCAGCTGCCAGGTTTGTGCCCTGCCACAGCTGGGGTCTCCTGCATAGCAAGAGAGGTTCCTGGTGTGCTGAGGGCTCAGATCTCTCACTGGTGGTTACAAGTGTGCTGGTCACATTTCTCTGGGAGTGTTCTCTGTCGTGGATGTCACACTGTCAAGTGCTCAAAAGGCAATTTTCCATGTCCTGGCTGGCTTTCTGTAGTTTCCCTGGTCTGACACATGGGATGATGCATTAGTGATAGGGAGGGCCGGGAGCCTGAGGTGCTGATAGCCCTGTTCTCACTCAAGAGAACAAGGGTATTGTCATCGAGTTGTTCCTGTGAGATGTGATCCCTCCATGTGAGCTGAGCATGTCACCAGTCCATTGCACAACTTATCAGCATTGAGGGAATTGCTGGATACATCACAGGAACTGGGATTTCTGGATGCTGTGCACTTACTGATCCTAATTCCCTTGTTAGTATTCAAGTAGCTCGCTCTCTTTTGTGTTAAACCTCACAACCCTCCTGCTGCTGCCCGTGGGGAAGGAGGGCACTGCTAAGTCCAGTTTGGATGTGGAGATGAGATTGGGAGAGGTTCAGCTCTTCACTGAATGCTGAAGATGCTCAAGCATGATGCATTTTACATTCAGAAATAACAGAAAATGCATTAAAACCTTGAGAGTGGAGCCAGCAGTGGGGAATCACACTCCCAATGGAGAGTCCCCAGCACAAGATTACAGCCCCTGCCTTCACCTGACTTGTGTTCTTCTGGCCTCATGAATCCTGAGGGTGGCCCAGCTTCAGCAGGGGATGGAGAGCAGTCCCACTGCGGGTCGTGGGGCAGCCTGGTGGCTGGGACATCTCCTGGGGCTTGGGGTCAATGCATTACAGTCCCTGAGAGCTGACACCTCACGGGCTCAACTTCCCAGGGAGGGCCCCAGGAAGCTGAACAGGTTGGTGTGATTCTCAACAGAACATGCTGGGGGGAAGTGAGCACTGTGACATGTCAGACAAAGATTTGAGCCGAGGGGCATCACCCCGTTGTACAGCACTAGCCAGAACACGTGGACATGCTTTATACTGAGCTGTTGACTGTTAGAACAGTTTTCATCAAGATGTGGCTGAAGACTGTGAAGCAGATGTGCACGAAGAAGTCTGAATGACACAATGTTTTCCTTTGGCCTGAGAGGCTTCGGTGTGTGATGTTTGGCCCAGCTGGGGGTGGCTGTGTGGCTGGGTACGAGCAGCCTGTCCTGCAGCCCCAGGCTCTGGGGGGTGGTTTGTTCTCCCTGCACAGGCCCTGTGGGTCATGGAGGCTGGGGCAGGGTGGGTGTGTGGCTGCTGGGGCCTCCTGTTCCTCAGCCTGAGCAGCACTGCTCAGTGCCAGCTGCTGGGATCACTTCCCCTCAGTGAGGGCATTCACTGAAGAGCTGTTCCCAGAGCTTCGCTCCTTTGGGCCGTGTGTTTTTGGGCCCTCGTGTGTCGGTACCATGTGGAAGCTGCAATAAAAGTGCTGTTCTGAAGTGTGTGAGCTGCCACCCTGCTCTGTCCTGCGCAGCGCGTGCCTCGGGGCGGGGGCAGTGTTCCCACAGGGTGCCAGGTCTCCTCCCCCCAGTCCCCACAGACCCTTACGTGGCAGACACTGCTTCAAGCACGTGTCCTGAGCTCTTCCTGAAAGCGTCCTCAGTTTCCTTCCTGGGTTTCAGAAGATGCTCAGGACATCTTTATTCTTTATCTCAGCCAGCGTTCTTAGAGTGGTTCTTTTATTAGATCAGTTAATACAGGCTGGGTAAGTGGACTCAGCTTTTGGGCAGTCTGCCTTCAAGGCTGGGCATGCACCTTCATAACTCTAGGAAGAGGGATTACTGGCTCCTTCTGTGAGGTTGTGGGGAAGGAAGGAATGTGTCAAGCTGCTTTTGGTAACAGTCAAGCTTCTGAGCAGTCTTAAGAGCATCAACTTTTTAGTAGATTCTCATATATCTGGTGTGATGAAGGTTTTTGTTGGCCGGTGCTCCAGTGACCTGCTTTGACTGCAGGAGGCTTGCCAGCAAAACCAGTGTGGGCCTGAGCAGGAGGCCCCCCTGGGAGCACAGGGCAGAGCTGGCCGGGCCCCGAGTCACACTGTCACCAGAGACACAGACAGTTCAGGGCTGTGCTGCTGCCTGGCTTTGCCCTGGGGAGGGTGCTGGGCTGGCAGCCATTAGCAGCAGGCTCTCAGTAGGAGCAGTAAGGAGGCAGTGCCAGGATCAGCATTTCTGCCTCCCCTGCTCCCACCCCCTGCAGCCATCGGGCACCACAGGACAGCGCCGGGGTCCCCGTGGGCTCCTCTGCCAGCCAGTGCCACGCTGGGTGCCCAGGCTGTGCAGTGCCAGAGCTGCCCCTGCCCCAGGGCTGGCACAGCTGGCGTGGTGACACCTCAGAGCTGATCTGGGGAGGAGTTTAATTTCTTTCTTTTTTTTCTCTTCTGTTTTTCTTTTCCTTGAAGGTCTCCAAGTTGCCAAATCTGCGCTCCCTGAGCCAGCTCCTCCTCCTCGACATCATCGAGTCGTTAGCTAACCACATTTCAGACAAGCAGTGTGCAGAGCTGGGCTCAGACATCTGACACACTGGGGCAACCAGCTCCTCGCCCCTTCCGTGAGGGAACCTCACGTTTACAGCTGACTCTTCTCTTTCACCATTCCACCCTGAGCTGTTCAGAGCGCCCACAGCCCGTGGGCAGCTGGCTGGCTTGCCATGGACTTGCTTGGTCTGTACCCTCCTGGAGAAGGGTTTGGTCTCTGTTACACACACGTAAAACCGAAACCATTACAGGAAGTGAATTTATCCCATGTGGGTTTGGGAGTAACTTGAGTTCAGAATTGAGCCCATTATGACTTTTATACTGTAAAATAAAGGAGTCATGAGTAAGGGAGTCATTCATACTTTGAAGTTCAATGTTCAAAGAAGAGCATTTAGAGAACCTCAGCTGACACAGCCGGGGGCTGTAAGGGGAAGTCAGAACTGGAAGCAGCGCGTGGTGCTCCCAGTGAGGCTGACCATGGATGTAGTGACTTCTTGGAAGCTCTCCATGGCATGGATTAAAAGAGAAACCCTTTCCAACGGCCTCGACCGGTCGCTGCAGGAAGCCTGGGCCTGTGCTCTGCAGCAGGTCAGACTAGAGATTACAGCAGTCCTTTCTGACCATCAAATCCATTAATCCTGTCTCCCTAAGCCTTTCTAAATCAATTTATTAATAAAGAGTTAACATCTTCTCCTGGCATTTGGTGATTGACTTCACTTTCATTTTGGAAAAAATTAAGCAAAAAGAGGTTTGAGCTTGAGGAAGGTCACTGTTAAAAATGAGTGTGCTACTTCTTGTTACTAATCTTGTGCTGAAGTGTCTTTGGTCGTCGTTCCCTTCGCGGGAAGGTGACTGAGGGCTGAGAGCCCTTCCCTGGGCAGGGGCAGCTGCTGTCCCCTCCTGGCTCCAGCCCTGGCTGCCCCGGATGCCTCCCACTCTGGAGGGGAGAGGAGCTCCCCCTCTCCCGGCTTGCTCGGGGAGCACCAGAGATCAGCTGGTGCTGGTGAAATGTCTGCTGGCAGAGCTGCTCCCG